GAGGGTCAGGGCGGTTGGTTTCGGGAGCAGGTAGCGGAGGAGTTGCACGGATCTTCTAGCCATGGCCGCGAATTTGTGGGGTCCGGGTGTGGTGATTTGATGGTGATGTGTTTATGCAATTTGGGAAGGCATTTGCGGAAAAAGGACGCCGACACAGAGAGGGGAGAGACAGACACACAGACAGAATAATAAATAATTACCTTTTAATTAAAAATTATTTTCTCTTGAAAAATGAAAATATTTGTGAAATGTTGACAAAAATGGAAAGGGGCGGAGAGATGGTGGGGGAAAGGAGTGAGGACCGTCCGGGGCTGTATGAATGGTGGGCCCGGAGCCGGCGGGTGGACAGTGTGCAGAGGCCCACGAGGAGGGAAAGCAGTGGCAGAGGATCGGCGCGGGAAAAGGCGCCACTTTTGCCGAGATTCGTATTGAATGTAATTTGAACAACATTTTTACTGATCGCTTCTTTAGTGTCGGTGATTTTTTGGAATATAAGTGAGGCTGATATCTCTTAAAATACCGTTAGTAGACTCGGTATAATTCTATATGAATGGAGGTTAGCATCGAAAGCTAATCCTCTTAATTATTTGAGCTACAAATATATTATTAGTATGGTACACATGCTGACAAGTTTCTGTGTGTGATTCGGATGCGCATCAGCTACATGTATATTTACAATAAAATATCTCGATTCAGATCAATGATGGGAAGCACAAAAGAGAACAGTAGAGGGGAATGTCTCTGGCCGTGTACATGGCCATATACAATTGAAGGATGTCCATGTCCCTATTCATTCCCTTGTAATAATAACAGATCGATAAAGTTTCACCAAAGAGTATGGGGTTTATAGTCAAAATGGTCTTCAAAATTGACATAACTTTTCACTCTAAATTTTTATATTGAAAATCAATAGAAATGATCAATCAGTTTGTCCACAGTAATCATTTTGGTCTTTATGTGAAAAATCTGTCAATATTCTTGTTAAATTGTCATGTTGACGATCTCATGACCACTTTTTTTTTTTTTTTATCAAACTAACCTCTTCAGTTAATGAAGATATTGACATATTTTTTTACGGAATAACTAACATGGTTTACTATGAACAAGCTCATGAACCACTTCTATCGATTTTCAATGTTAGAGACTAAAGTAAAGAGTTGTGTCTATCTCATGAATTATTTTGACTAAAAAGCCAAGAGAATTTCATATGCAACCAAGATTTATTTAAAGGAAAACTAATGAAAATGGCTTGAAAACTTTGAATTTTAACGATAATGACAAAATAAAGGGTAAAGTGAATAGTACCATGATTAACTTTTTAGTGTAAAAATGTGATTTTTCGTTAAAGTAAACGTACCGGCAACTTTTCGTTAAAGTTCCCTTTATTTAATGCGACATTACATCTAATAAATGTTTTGAGTGCTATAAAAATGTATTATATTTGTGCAATATACAATTCTTACATAGTAAATTGGTGACACGAGAAAGTCTTATCACCACCAAACTAGTCATTTTACATCTTATTTGAATTTATAAATTAATAGGCAAATTACACTGTATCACCTCAGGTTTGAAGTCTATTACAACCTCATACAATATCTTCACAATATTTCACTTTCATACCTCAAGTACTATTTTATTTCAATATAATATATCTGTTACATTTTTAATTCATTGATCCGTTAGGAGCTGATGTGGCTGTCATATTTGTGTCACGTGACTGCCAAATTTCTGCCATGTGGCAAAAAAATAATTTTTTATACATTAAAAATATTATAATAATCTATCCTATTAAAAAAAAAAAAACTGAAAATCCATTCTCCCCGATCACCTCCCTCTCCTCCACTCTCTTCAGCTCCCCTCCCATCCAAAACCCACCCCACACCCACCTCCCCCGCAACCCCCACCCCACCCACACCTCCCCCGCAACCCCCACCCCTCTCCTCCACTCTCTTCACCTCCCCCAACCGATCCCTTCCTCTTCCCCTTCCACTTTCTCTTTCTCTCTCATTCTTTGATCATTCAATTTCTCTCTCTCCACTCATCTGCTCTCAATTTCAAAAAAACCAGCAAGCAAATTTTTTTCATAAACACAAATCATGGTGGATGGGGTTGGAAATTGAAACACGGAGGGAGCTGAAGAGACCAACGCAGCATGCCCAACCTCAGCCACCTCTCCTTCCTCCAGATTATTCTACGTGGCCATCAGTTCAGAGACCAGCGACCCATTTGAGGAGGGTTCATCCTTGGCGAACTTCTCCACCACCTAAGTCAGTGCCGCAACTTCACTGGATCGAAAAAGGATTGGTGGGTCAGGAAACGCACGAACTTTGGTTTCATTGTGATTGGCCATTTCTCCTGGTACTTGCCCAGTATATGCATATCTGCAGATAATTGCGCCGGGGGGGGGGGTTGGATAGGAGGGAGGTGGAGAAAGTGGATGAGAGGGAGGTGGTCGGGGAATGGGGAAATGGGTTTTCAGTTTATTTTTGATTTTTTATTTTTTATAGGATAAATTATTATAATATTTTTAATGTATAAATTTGGCAGCCACGTCAGCTCCTAACGGATCAATGGATGAAAAATGTAACGGATATATTATATTGAAATAAAATAGTACTTGAGGTATGAAAGTAAAATATTTTAAAAATGTTGTATGAGGTTGTAATAGACCTCAAACTTGAGATTGTACAGTATAATTTACCCTAAATTAATTGTCAGTTCCAAATTGCACAAATCATCTATGTGGAACGGGGAAAGGTGAGTATGCTACTCTTGTGATTAAAAAAACCTGAAAAATGTTTGCAATTGGAGATGTCAAATCACTACTTTGTCTTTGAATTGTAACCTACAGAGAGCTTAAGGGGAGGGATCCCCATTTTTTCAAAAAAAATGGGGACCCTACCGTTAGATTGACTTTAATGAAATTGTGTGGTTGAGATTAAAACACAGGCCACAGAATCTCAACCACATGATTTCATTAAAGTCAAATCCAACGGTAGGGAGCGTATCCCCATTTTTTTGAAAAAATGGGGATCCCTCCCCTTAAGCAATTGTCAGCAGGAACTTTTGACCATTAATACATAAAGATGGGCTGTGGAGAATTATCTCTGAGATTTGGAGTTTTAGGCGGAACTTGAACAAAATGCATCGTGAATTTGCGTTGAAATACTATTTGTCAAATTAGAGTGACTTTATAAACAAAATGCATCGTGAATTCGGGTTGAAATACAAGATGTGGACAATTTTCATTGAGATTCGGAATTTAAACGCAACTTGAACAAAATGCATCGTGAATTTGGGTTGCAGTACTATTTGTCAAATTAGAGTGACTTTATCAACAAAATGCATCATGATTTTGGGTTGAAATACTATTTGTCAAATTAGAGTGACTCTATTTTAGAAATACAGCATATGAAAATAACATTATCAAAGTGATATCGATGTACAATTCCTTTTGTCGTTCCCCTTTCCCCAAATAATGTACGATAGCCGTCTTTGTTAACTAAATTGACAATTGTGTCATTTAATTAATCATGATATAATTGAGTGGTTAATCAAATCTTGGTCTATGTACTTACTCAAGAGTTAGATGAGTAAATGATGAAATATAATCATTAAAGATTGCCTATATGAATGTACATGAATTGTATAGTTTCTCAATTATCTTGGTAATTAGTTTATTAGGAAAATCTAATCCTCCTATGCATGAATCATTTCAAACGCAATGAAAGATGCATCAACTTAATTTATAATGGTACGCTCACGCATAAAAATGACATCATTTGCTTAAACGAGTACATATAAAGGATTATATGGAGTGTGGTCACACTGTCTAGAATAAATATTTTCTCACTGTACTAAGTTTAAATCTTACAGCAGTTCATTTTAATTAAAATAAAATATCGCTTATACATATGGTTAAAAAAAAGTAATATTAGGAAGACTAAATCTATAGACAAAAATTACAAACTAAATTATGTATCATCAATAAGAATAAGCATGTTTATCAATGCTTAAGTCATAATCCAATCATCAACTTTCATGTCATGTAATTTGCAAAATTTTATTTATAAATTTAGTCTTCTTAATCTTACTCTTAAAAAAATATTATTGTTTAAAAAGATCAATATTAAACAAAGAACTAACCATTGAAACTTTCAAAATGCCATAAACTATTGTCACTTTAAAACACCTAACGAAATTTTTTATAAAGAGTAATACATATGAATCAACGTGTCTCTCTGTAGGTTGATTTGTATTTATTTTACAAAGACCGTGTACACTTTAAATTACTTTTACTTATGGAGGATTCAAAATTAAGTATAAAGAGTCGTTTAGTCTTATAGTTTAGTGGTATTTTTCTGCACTTATGAGTAAGAGGTCTTAGGTTCGATTTTCGATAAATGTGAATTTGAATCACATTATTGCTAGCTCATTGTGAGACTAAGTCCATTCTCTCTTCCCTTAGTGTAGATAATATCTGAATAAGCTTCGTGACCAATCCACGGTACTTCGTACTTATGATCAGAATAAATAATTGTATAAATATCACCTTTTCAAATATTCATTTAAACAAAAATCAGTTAATCAAATGTATAAATAAATAAACAATTTGAAATACTTTTACTCATTGCCACCATATATACAATTCACTAACTAAATGATTTCATAAGTTATTAAATACTCCATAGATATAACTTTTACAAAAATTTATATAATTGGTTAGAAAGCAAAAAGACATAGGTAATGTTAGGGAGATTAAATTTGTAGATAAAATTTGTAAATTAAATAATGTATCACAAATACGAATGAACACATTTATCAACGCTTAAGTGATAATCAAATAATCAACTTTCATGTTATTTAATTTACAAAATTTTATTTATATCTATAAATTTAATCCCGTTAGTATTAGTCCAAGAGAAAACAGCAACGGGAGCAAAAGCGTGCCAAAAAAAGAACCAAGAGGAGCTTTATAAAACCCACAGGACACGTGATATGAGCCATCCATTCACAAAATTCATCAAAAACGCTGGCACCCTCCGCGTCTCTATCTTCTTCTTCTTCTTTCGCCCTTCCCTTCGCTTCCCATCCACGACAATTTCACGCCAAAATAATCCAAAAGATTATAAAAAAACATCGATACGCAGCAGTTTCATCCCCACTACTTCCCACCACGCCACAACACTCCGCCACACACACAAAACACCACTTTACTCTCCCTCTCCTCACTTTCTCTCTCTACTCTGTTTTTCCATGAGGGGTTCGCATTCGATCGCTTCCTAAAAGCTCCCTCTTCCTTTCTTTCATTCTCTCTCATGGCTTGCCTGAGCGATGAGAGCTGGGTCGCCCTCCCCAAAATGCTCTCCGACGGCCTCTCTCTACCGGAAGACGACCGCCGCGACGACGACGACGACGACGACGACCAGGCCGGGTTTTTCCGGTCCGAGTCCACCGCGTACAGGTTAGAGAAGGTTTTTCCGGTCTACGCATTGGGGATTCCGAAACCCGAGTCCGACCCGGTTGGACTTGCTTCCGTTTCGGGCGACCCGATTTGGGATGCCGTCCGGGAAGAGGCCAAGTTGGAGGTATTACAAATTCTTTACAATGCAATTTCTTCACCAGAATTTTTTGTTTTTCAGTTAAATGGTTGAAATTCAAGTGCTTCCCGAAAAAGCAAGTAGAGCATATGTCAGGTGCTTTTGTAGAAAGCATTTCTGTGGCAAGCAGGAAATCACCTGTTATAAGCGCTTAAGCTCATAAGTGCTTTCGTTGAAAACGCATTGAAATTCAAGTGCTTCCTTAAAAAGCCACTAGAAGTGTTTTCTGAATGAGTGCGTTTTCTGAGTGAGCATATGTTGTTGGCTTTTTTAGAAAGCGCTTCTATGAGTCAAAGCACTTCTAACTTTTTCTTCCAAACGCACCCAAAAGCGTTTTTGATGGTCTTCTTGTAGAAATCGCTTTTAGCTTTATAAAAGAAGTCCCAAACAGGAAAGATTGAAGCTTTAAGTTATTGATGAAAATCCCATCAACTTTTTTTGTTTTCGTTTTTAGTTTTTTTGGTGGGTTTTTAGTGATTTTTTTTTTTGGATTTTAAACACTGCAGGCGGAAAAGGAGCCAATTTTGAGTAGCTTCTTGTATGCGAGCATCTTGGCACATGATTGCTTAGAGCAGGCGTTGGGGTTTGTTCTCGCCAACAGACTGCAAAACCCGACGCTTTTGGCAACTCAACTGATGGATATATTTTATGATGTGATGCTGCATGATAGAGATATTCAACGATCCGTTCGCTTAGATGTGCAGGTAACCTCAAATTCGTGTTAAAATATTACGGTTGACTCTGTATATGCTTTGATAACTTATGGAGGCTCTGTTAAATTGGAAATTTGTTTCCTCAGGCATTTAAAGACCGTGATCCAGCCTGCTTGTCGTATTGTTCGGCCCTATTGTATCTTAAGGTGTTATGCTCTTTTCCTGTTGTTAACTAGTTATGTGGTTGAAGAAAACGAAAAGCAATGTTATAATCAAGTATATACTCTAATTTCCTGATCATCTTTTTCCTCTTCTACTTTTGCAGGGCTACCATTCTTTGCAAGTACATCGAGTAGCTCATTCATTGTGGAATCAAGGACGAAAAGTATTGGCCTTGGCGTTACAAAGCCGAGTTAGTGAGGTACTTTCCTTTTTTGGTATCCTTGTTTAGTATTACTAGCGGTTTAGGTTTGTGGCTTTCCGTTCTCCTTCTAATCTTAAAACCACTTTATTCTAGGTCTTTGGAGTGGACATTCACCCAGGTAAACTTATTTCTGCTCTGCAATCTGTTGACATCATGATACTAAGTTTGCCAAGAACACGGAGTAATTATAGATTTAAGTAGAAAACGTGGTTTTCTTTGCTGAAAAACGGTTATTTTCTGTGGAATTTGAGTCAATAGGAGAGTGAAGGAGCTCTGGCAATGATGTAAAACTAACATTCTATTTGATGGTTTTTCTAAAGCTGCAAAAATTGGAGAGGGAATATTGTTGGATCATGGTACTGGTGTGGTTATTGGCGAAACTGCTGTTGTAGGAAACAGAGTATCACTGATGCACGTATGTCAATTTCATAATTCATTTCTGTTTCAATTTATCGGTTCATTTGTGTTGTGCTGAAAAAGTACTAGTTGATAATGAAGAAGTATGTATTCTGCTTTTATCAACAGGGTGTGACTTTGGGGGGAACCGGGAAGGGAATTGGTGATCGACATCCAAAAGTAGGTGACGGTGCACTAATTGGAGCCAGTGTAACTGTACTTGGGAATATCAAAATAGGTCGAGGAGCAATGATAGCTGCTGGTTCCCTTGTGCTGAAAGATGTCCCTCCACACAGGTAGAAAGTAATTTTGGTCTGAATGTGTAATATCTACTCTATTTACAATCATATGAAAGTGACATTTCTTTCTCTCGTACTCAAGCATGGTGGCAGGAATACCAGCAAAGGTCATTGGATATGTAGACGAAATAGATCCTTCGTTAACAATGAAGCATGGTATGTCATATGGTTGGGATGGAATTAATAATTGTTCGCAGTCAGCTTAGGTCTTGCATTTGTTGTATACATTTTATTTAGAATTAGAATACTGAGATTAAGGCGAGAAAGTTAGAGGGAAATCACATATTCATCATCATGTCTCACGTGCAAAATTTCTTGTTATTAATCTGCAGATGCTACCAAAGATTTTTTCGAAAATGTAGCTGTTCGGTGTAGAGATACAAGACCTGCTGGTTGGTGTGGCTGTTAATTTTCATTTCATAGGCTCTCAAGAAACTGCTCCCAGCACTTCATTTATTCATTGCAGCTCAAGATCTGCTAATTGTTTTCAGGAGGTCAGAGCTCAAGAAGAAGTGATGGGAGCACTTGAGATATGTAGGTAGGCGTAGATCTCCGTTCGTAAATTGCTAGCGTGAAGGCAGTTTGTGGTCTTCAGAGAGAAACTGACTTATTGTATCGGCTTGAAGTATACAATTTCATTAACCATGTTCTCTCTTCTGCTGCCTATGCTGATGCAGAGATTCTTGTATGAGCGGTTTTAAGTACTGGAGATTTTAATCTAGGCGCCTGATTTTCTTCATTTTACTACCATAACAAATTGGGAGAACCAGCAGCAAGATTCTTTCGAAGTACCCATGATCCAGAAAGAATAAAACCCCTGATCGGATGAGGAGAAGTCGAAGCTAGTTGGGGATCGACCCTCGTTATTTATCTTATTGTGGTCAAAATGAACTGCCTTATAATGTATTGGATGCAACAGAAGAAAAGAAATTGATAGGAGTTTTGAGTCCGTCATTTTATTTTTCCCTGTTGGCGGGTGAACAATGTAATCTTTCCATATGTACTAAATAGGTAATGTCATTTTTGCTGCTATAATCTCTTTACTTGGAATTTCTTTCTTTCGACTGGGAGACTCGTCCAAAGCGGTGAGTTTGTCTGTATATTTAGCCTTCTTGTACCACTTGGGATCGTTGGAGCATTTGCCAACAGTTTTACGCCTTCGGACAAGGTCTTCTTTAGCCTATCTGTCTCCTGGTTTGAGAATTTGAGCTTCTTGTTTAGTTCTTCTATCTGTGTGTCAGTGACTCCAAAGCGCGAACCGTTGATTCGATCGCTTCGAGGAGGGGACTGAACTTCTTAGTCTTGTTGATCAGAATGACAACATGCTTTTACAGCTCTGAGCACATTGTGCCCACGATGCCTCCTCCTACTAGTTCAGCCATTTCCTGTAAATTCAGGCAGAATATTGTGAAAGGAACTCTATGGAAACGACTACTTCAAATGGAAAAAGATAAAGAGAACTGTCTCGCACCGAAACTACAGATACCAAGTAGAGTTTATACGAAGATTGCCGGGTGACTCTTCTGGTCGCCGGTGCCGATTGTTGAGAATTTTGACAAAGAACTCAGGGGTCGACTCCAATGAAGTCTATACTTGTTTCTAATCATTTTATGATATGGTTGGTGTTTCTTGGAACTCGAAGGCCAGCTCTGATTAAGAGTCCACACTTGTTTCCACCTCAACACTTTCTGGTGAAAAGGTCTTGCTTAGCTCGCACTCTTTCTCTTTCTACTCTCTCATACATATAGAGTTGAAGATATTTTCAACCAAGCTTCTTCTACATGGCTCCTACGTTACTTGGAGGCAGTGGCGAAGCTAGGAATTCTTGGGGGAGGGGCGAAATTTAAAAAAATTAGGATCCCAAAAAAATGTGAACATTCATTTGAGGTCTAAATCTAGGATTTGCAAGAAGATTATTTGAACTACCCGTAATATTCATAGGAGAATTTGCACTAACCGCCATATTCAAAAGAGGATTTGGACTACTCAAAATAGTCGATGGAGGGTTTGAACAACAATATTATTTGAAGGATGATTTAGCACCGTTTCTTGTTGTATTGTTCTATTATTTAATTGTATAATTAGCAAAGTTTTAAAAGATGATGGACATGACTTTACACTTAGGCGAGGACCTAGGCAAATTTGAATAAATTTATTATATACCGTATAAATAATTATCTATTTATTATATAGCTTATAATATTCAAAAAACATTGATTATAAAACATATAATATATAAAAATATTGACAATTTTCTTTATTACTTTGTTGAATTTGATGGCAAGAGAAAAAAAACAAATAATTACGAGTTCGTAATATTTTACAAATTATTTTTTGAAGCTCGTATAAATTTATAATGAATTTTAAGATAAATAACAGTGTCAAATAAGTGACTTAAAAAATATTGGAAGAGTGGTCAAATTAATTGGACAATAATTAAAAAATAAAACAAATTCCAATATAAATCAGTTAGGTGGGGAAATTTGATTGGCCAATATTTAAAAAAAAATTGTAATTCTCAAAAATCACGTGGGGTGGGATGGGAGAGAGAGAAAGTCTCTCTCTTCTTCCTTTCTCTTCTTCTTCGTTAGAAACAAACCAGAGCTTCAGTTTTAGTCTCCAGAAGCTGAAAAATGCATATCTTCGTTCCTCCTTTCTTTGGCCTAGGTTTTTCTTCTTTTGGAAAAAAAGAGAGCCCGCGATCAGCCTGTGCTGCGATGGAGTAGGGTTAAAAGGTCAGAAAGCCAGATGGAATTTCATCACTTTCGACGAGACCGGAGGGGTGGAACCACCGCTCCTAGGCTTGATTTCCGGCGAGGGGAGGGGCGGCCGCCACTCCTCACCCTCACGTAGCTTCACCACTGCTGGGAGGAGATTAAGTCTCTCCTCCCAACTAAAGCATCTATCCATGGCCTCCTATTAGCCAAGCATTTATTTTGGTGTTTTACAGTGATATTAGGAAATTATTATTGGCACTACAAATTTTTATTTTATACTTCAAACTTTCTATATATATAAATAAAAAATACATTGAAGAATATAAAATGAAATTTAATGAGTGCTAATAACAATTCTCTAATCAGTGCAACAATTTTAACATTAATACTTCAACATAGATGCTACTTTAGTTGTGTACCGAATATTTACGATTAAAGATTTTGATAAGAAATTATAATGTTCGATACGCAAACCATAAGAGGCGACTTGGTCCAAATTTACTTTAAAATAGTGAATGGGACCGAAGGTATGTCGTCGGTTTAATTTTATTTTTATTTATTTAGAATAAACGATATTATCTATACACTAAGAAGAAGAGGGTGGGCTCAGCCTCATAATGGGCTAGCAATAATATGGTTAAAATTCGCGCCTTTGGCTAGAATCGAACCTTAAACCTCTCAAATTACAAGTGAAGAGGAATACCACTAAACTGTAGTACTTAAGCAGCCGTCAGTTCGATTTTAGAATATAAAATTTAAGGGAAAACTGAAGTGGTTCTCATTGGCACAAATTGGGAGAACCACCAACAAGTTTCTTTCGAAGTACCCCATCATCCATAAAGTATGAAACCTTGATCGGATTAGGAGAAGTCGAAGCTAGTTGGGGGTCAACCCTCGTTATTTATCTTATTGTAGTCAAAATGAGTTGCATTAATGTATTGAATGCATCAGAAGAAGAATAGAAATTGATAGGAGTTTTGAGTCAGTCATTTTACTTTTCCTTGTTGGCGGTTGAACAATGTAATCATTCCATATGTAATAAATAGGTTATGTCATTTTTTCTATTATAATCTCTTCGCAGGGAATTTCTTTCTTTCGACGACAATTGCTCATTAGTTTACTATAAAAATTAACTTGAGAAAGCAATCCACCAGATGAACTTCGACCAACATAGAACACAAACACCAAAAGAGAACTGCAACCAATGTTTAAATGACATTTGCAGAACTATGACAAGGAGATGCAAGATCAAGATTAATACTAACAAAGATTCAATCAATTGAATCACAACTTTCCAAATATATAAGAATTAACATAAAAGTTGTGATCTTCTGGATGCATGTGTGTTATCGATGCATATTTTGCTTTTGTATTAATGAGAATTCTGCAGCTTCAGAACAGATGAGTGGTAATTGATCGACAAAGTCAATCTTGAGTTATTTATTCTATATATGTCTTTAGTAATAAAAACTATATGTATGATTAAGTTGATTCAATAGCATTAATTTATGGTGAAAAAGACAGAAATCAGGGATCTTTAATAGATTCAAAGTTCTGATTTCATTGTTGTCTTCTACAGTTTCACTAAAGTCAATCAATCTAACAACATTGTTAATTCTCAATGGTGGGAGCAATTATAAGAAATTGCGTAGAGAGATTGAATTGCTTTTGACACTAAATGAGTATGACATTGCTCTTGACATTCCAAGACCTGAAGCATGAACCGACAAGAGCACAAAGGCTGAGAAGGTTGATTTTAAGAGATGGACTAGAGCTAATAAAGTAGCTTTATCCATTCTTGAAAGTGGCATGACAGATACAGTGCGTGGTGAAATCAAGATATGCAATCTAGCAAAGGATTATCTCAAGGCTGTGGAGAATAAGTTCAAAGAATCAGAGAAGACTGAGATTGCGCAGAGCATGTCTCTCTTGACTTCCCACAAGTTTGAGGGTGAAGGCTTAATTCAAGATCACATCATGAAGATGACTGATGCAGCTGAAAAAATCACATCATGAAGATGACTGATGCAGCTGAAAAAGTTAGTTCCATGGATGTTATCATTGGAGAAAAGCAGTTAGTGTTCATGATACTACAAGCATTGCCACAGAAGTTTAGTCAGCTAAAAGTGTCTTACAATACTCAGGATAAGTTATGGACAGTTGATGAACTAATTGCTCAGTGTGTGCAAGAAGAGAATCGTCAAAGGCAAGAAAAGATCAAGGAGGTTGAATCCATCAATTTTGTGCAAGCTGTAAAGGGAAAGAAGGATTTTATTTCTGGTAACACTTCTAAACCTAAGCATTTTGACAAGTCTGTTATACCTGCTAAAAATACCAACTCCTCTAAGTCTAACAATTTTAAGGTGAAAACTAAAAACATTGAAAAAAAATTAGATGTCATCATTGCAAAACCAAAGGTCATTATAGAAAAGACTGAAATATTCAAGAATTGGTTGAGGGCCAAAGGAAAAACTGATGTCTACGTGTGTGATGAGTTGAATCTTATTGATATTCCTGTTGATTCATGATGGTTTGATACTGGTTCATTTGTGCATATGACTAAATCATTGCATGGTTTTGAACAACAAAAGAAAACAAATTGTTTTAATGTTTTTGTTTATGAGGGAACTGTTGAAGCTATTGGCATTGTCAAAATTAAACTAGCTACAGGTTTAATAATGCAATTAAATGATGTATTGTATGTTCCTACAATGAGGAGAAATCCAATTTTAGCATCAAAATTGGTTAAACATGGCTATGTTTTCATGGGGGGTGACAAATGCATCAAGTTTTATAAAAATGGTTCTTTGCAGGGAAAAGCTTTTATGCATGATCAACTTTGGAAATTACATTACACTATAGAAACTGATCACTTACATGTTTTGAACATTGCAACCAAAAGAATGCACGGTTTAGATCAAACATTCATGCTTTGGCATAAAAATTAGGACATATTTCAAAAGAAATGGTGCTTCAATTATCCAAAATGAACCTTATTCATGAAATTGACTTCAAAAATGCAATTGAATGTGTTGATTGTATGAAAGGAAAATAGATGCTAAAAAAAGTCATGGTCTATTGGAAATCATACACATAGATGTTTATGGACATTTTCCTGTCAAAACCATATGTGGGAATTCTTATTTTATGAATTTCATTGATGACTACTCAAGATACAGTTACATTTTTCTTATTAGTGAGAAGTCTTCAGTCTTTGAATGTTTTAGTCTTTAAAAGGGAGGTTAAAAACAATTGGACCATGTGATTAAAATTGTTAGATCCGATAGAGGATGAGAGTAGTTTGGCAGGTACGCAGAAGTTGAACAATAAAAT